CCCCAAAACCCCAAAACCCCAAAACCCCAAAACCCCTTCAATTATATTATAATTTGAACAATATTTAAACTTAATGGACCCTAACTCTTACAAAGAAGATAGCGAGTCATTCGTAGTAGCTCTTGAGGCCTCCAGAAAGATACTCAGCAAAACTTTGAGAACTTTATATAACCAACAAGTTTTGGTAAGTACCATTTTACAGATGCTATTGGACAGTTTTCTGATCATTATTCGCTTTAGGATTTAGTATTTGTAATTTGGAAAATTTAAAATATATATTTGTATCGAGCCCTTTAATCGAACAGTATGCTTCAGAGAGTAGTTATAAATTGCTTCAGATATTTTTCTTGACTTAATATAACATTAAAATTAATCTTGATCTAATAAAACTCAATTTTAAGACTTTCTCTTGAGTTTATCAAAAACTGCAAGATTCTTCAATCATTTTCAGTTTCAAGAACCTAATCTGCACTTTTTGGCTTATTACAGATTCAATCCTTATACCTATTTCAAAATTTCTTAATAAAATTTGTAATATTCCTAATCCAATTTAATGGAGTGAAAAGAAATATGTCAAAATAAGTTTTTGAAAAACGAAAAGTTCACCTCTAAAATCTCCAAACCTGTTGAGACATCCTCACAACTCACAACTTGTAGATTAAAGAACAATACTTACTTAGGTCAGCATTGCTATCTCATAGATAGAGGTACACATTGCTCACCCATTTGAATTTAATTCAACAGTGCTTTCCAAAACAAAGTGTGAATAACTTAACTACAGAAATAAAGTGCCCTTATATTCATCGGTAAAAGTCTGTATTGTGCTCGACCACATTCTTAGAAACTCAGTGAGGATACCCGATACAGAATATATCACGTAATTTAATTATAACCTTTAGAGAATCAGACTTGGATATAGAAGAACCTGTAAGTGTTTACCTTCCCTCAATTGACAGAATATAAACTTAAATTAACTTTTATTAGCTTGCGCCTCCTATGGACAGCTGAATGCAGGACAAATAGACTTATTAAACCGTTTCCTGGGGGAAGAAGAACAGACAAGCATAGTGATAATAAAAAGAGTGCATACCACCGATCAAGGACTTACCATCGCTCTTTCTATAAAAGCAGGAGTTCAATAGGAGGATCTTTCAGTGAAATCAATAGTGACAGTTCGAATATATCCTTAAGAAAAAGGAAAGCTTCTATCCGAATTTCAAATAAGTTTATTTTCCTTGGGTTAACCCCAAAGGAACCCATCGAAATTCGAATTGATGACGAGCAGACTGAGATTATTCATGAAGATAGTCTAGATTCTGTTTACATAAGTAATTTAGAAATAACTTTTAGATAATTTGAGAAAGAAAATTATCCAGAGTAATAAAACCGAAAATAAAGGAAAACAAGAGAAGAAAAGAATGGGATGGTCAAAAATAAACTTAGGTATTTAAATCCCTCAATTATATAGACAATGGATCAGTTATTTACAGGCCTAAATAAAAAGATCAATTGTAACACTGAGTACTCATTCAATCACAAAGGAGAGCTAATGCTATCTAAAAGAGTTAACATGGACAAAATTCTATCAGGAGCTAACAAAACGGACTTAACAGATAACGTGGTAATAAACCCTAACTACTTTAGATGTCATGTATAAATCCTGAGATAAAAATTCGCGAAGCTAAGACAAAGCCTTCAACAGATGTCCTTGAGAACTTCAATCGAATAGCTTTTAAATATGGAAAAGCAAAAAGGAGGTCTTCTAAAAGTTTCCTATCGAGAGCTAAAATGGGCAGAAAATCTAGCCATAGCTTGTACCGCCTAAACTCTGCATTTGACAGCAATACCTCCCATATTGGCGATAAAACAGGCTATAGATACAAAAACATGGAGGTTTACCGCCAAGGGCGTATATTAGAGAACCAATTCGGAGCCACAGACGAAATCAACCTTGAAAAAGGAGTAACATTTATTCTAAATTGTTTAGGTATTCTTCAAAAAGACCATTGTTGACAAATCAGAAAATGATTTCTCTCGAGAGGATGCGAGTGATGCTAAATTATCCCCAACATTTGGACCTAACATTAACAATAACAACAAAAGAAGCAGTTCCAAAGTGTTTATTCAAGGAGAAGCATACATGCCAGACACTATCAATAAGATGAGCTTAAAAGAATATAAAGAGAAATAGCAAAACTGGCCTAATAAACTCTCTCATGACCAAAGATCAATATTTAACTGAAGAAGAGATTAGAGAACTTAAGAATCTTCAAAGCAAAAAGTATAAATAGCTCAGTTTTGAAACTTAATAAGGACAAATTAGTCCGGCAAAGAGACGGGGTCGTAATCAGATTATCAGAATTAAGCACTCCAATAACTGATGCTGGAAATGACACCTTCTTCACTCAAAAAATTCTTAGTAATCCTGCAGGATTAAATCAAATAACAAAATCAAAATAAAATTATGAAGAAGAATCAAAGATTAAATGCTTCAAGAAAGCAAATTCTTGTACAACTCAGAGTTAACTTATAGGATATGCTTACAAATGTGAATAACAATAGAAACTCAGAGATGAGTAGAAGCAACGTTTTCAGATTTGAGAAATCTGACTTTGCAGCTATCAAGAAAAGTAGTGCTACACCTTTCAAATAAAATTCCAGTAAAATTGCACAATAGGAATAGGTTTCCTAAAATTCATAGAGACATAAAATGCTTCTCCCCTTGCCCTACAACCTCAGAAAATATCATTAAATGAAATGTGGCAAAAAGCAGGAGTCACTCTTCCTTCACAAGGAATAAAAATTTTGAAATTCACAAAACTGCTTTAATGAAGAAATCGAACTCCAGAAAAGGAAATATTAAAAACAATCCAGACATTATCAAAAATGAAGAAGCCAAGTTAGCAATTATCAGAGATGAAGTCTTAAACAAATTTCTCACTGATTCTCAGAGGAAAAATTTACATTCAAGACCAAAAATGCCTACTTCGCCTAAATTACCTCCCAAACTGCTTAATCCCCAAGCAATCGCATTTAAAGCAAGTACAAGGAACAGGTTCCATCGGAGACTTTTCTCCGGCTAAAAATCTAACGGTAAAATAGGGTATTATCCAAACTTTTAATACTCAACCCTAATAGATTTTACATTAAAATATTTATTCTTCAAGCTTCAGAGTGCTAATTGGGGTTTTGGGGTTTTGGGGTTTTGGGGTTTTGGGG